ATCAGATATAGGTTATACATGTGCAATCACGTAGAACATTTCCACAGTAGTCATTTTGTACAAGAAGGAGGACTTAAAAGAAAAAGAATGAAAGAAAGTGAAAAATAGTGTGTTTCAGTCTGTACTCAAACAACATCACTTCTTTCTCTGGAGATGGGTAGTATGCTTCATCATTAGTCCTTTGGAATTGTCTTGGATCATTGTATTGTAGAGAATAGCCATGTCATTTACAGTTTTTCATCGTGCAATATTACTGTTACTGTGTACAATGTTCTCCTGGTTCTGCTTACTTCACTTTGCATCAGTTCATGTAAGTCTTTCCAGGTTTTTCTGAAATCATCCTGCTTCTCATTTTTCATAGCACAATAATATTCCATTATAATTATATACCACAGCTTGTTTAGCCCTTCTTCTATTAATGGGCATCTCTTCAATGTCCAATTCTTAACCACCACAAAAAGAGCTGCTATATTTTTGTACATGTAAGTCTTTCCCTCCACCCCCCTTTTTTTATGTCTTTGAGAGATAGACCTAGCAGTGGGAATGCTGGGTCAAAGGGTATGCACAGTTTTATAATCCTTTGGCCATAGTTTCTAATTGCTCTCCAGAGTTGTTGGATCAGGTCACAACTCTACCAATAGTGCATTAGTGTCCGTTTTCCCACATCCCTGCCCAACATGCATCATTTTCCTTTTTTGTCATATTAGCCAATCTGATAGGTGTGAGGTGGTGCCTTAGAGTTGTTTCAATTTGCACTTCTCTAATCAATAATGCTTTAGAGCATTTTTTCATATGACTATAGAGAGCATTGATTTCTTTATCTGAAAACTGCCTGTTCATATCCTTTGAGCATTTATCAATTGGGGAATGACTTATATTTTTATAAATTAGATTCAGTTCTCTATATATTTGAGAAATGAAACTTTATTAGAGCTACTTGTTGCAAATTTTTTCCTGTTTTCTGCTTTCCTTTTAATTTTAGTTTCATTGGTTTTGTTTGTGCAAACACTTTTTAATTTTATATAATCAAAATTATCTATTTTACATTTTGTAATGCTCTCTCTCTCGTTTGGTCATAAATTCTTCACTTATTCATAGATCTGACAGATGCTCTCCTAATTTGCTTACGGTATCATCTTTTATGTGTAAATCATGTACCTATTTTGACCTCATCTAGGTATACAGCATAAGATGTTGGTCTATCCCTAGTTTCTGCCATACTGTTTTCCACTTTTCCTGATAGTTTTTGTGAAATAATGAGTTTTTCTTCCAAAAGCTTGGATCTTTGGGTTTATCATATACCAGATTACTATGGTCATTTATTATAATATAATTTGTACCTAATCTATTCCACTGATCCATTACTCTGTTTCTTAGCCAGTATCAGATTGTTTTGATAATTACTGCTTAACAATGCAGTTTAACATCTGGTATGGCTAGATTGTGTTCCTTCATACTTTTTTTCATTGATTTCCTTGATATCCTTGATCTTTTGTTCTTCCAGATGAATTTTGTTATTATTTTTTCTAGCTTTGTAAAATAATTTTTCTTTCTTTCTTTTTTTTTTTTGGCTAGGCAATGGGGTTAAGTGACTTGCCCAAGGTCACACAGCTAGTAAGTGTTATGTGTCTGAGGCTGGATTTGAACTCATGTCCTCCTGAATCCAGGACTGGTGCTCTATCCACTGTGCCACCTAGCTGCCCCATGTAAAATAATTTTTTGATAGTTTCATTGGTATGGTACTGAATAGATAGATTAATTTAGGTAGAATTGTCATTTTTATTATATTGACTTGGCCTACCCATGAGTAATTAATATTTTTCCAATTGTTTACATTTGATTTTATTTCTGTGAAAAGTGTTTTGTAGTTGTGTTTATTTAGTTTCTGGGTTTGTCTTGGTGGGTCGACTCTCAAGTATTTTATGTTGTCTACAGTTATTTTAAATGGAACTGCTCTTTCTATCTCTTGCTGCTAGACTTTGTTGGTAATATATAGAATGCTGATGATACATATGGGTTTATTTTGTGTCCTGCAACTTTGCTAAAGTTGTTAATAATTTCAAGTAGTTTTTTAGTTGATTTTCTAAGATTAGGTACAACATCATATCATCTGCAAAGAGTGAAAGTTTTGTTTCCTCACTACCTATTCTAATTCCTTCATTTTCTTTTTCTTCTGCTATTGTCATAGCTACTTTTTCTGTTATGATATTGAATAGTAGAAGTGATAATAGGCATCCTTGCTTCACTCCAACTATATTGGGAAGGCTTCTAGCTTATCCCCATTACTGATAATGCTTGCTGATGGTTTTAGGTAAATATTACTTATCATTTTAAGGCGAGCTCCATTTATTCCTATGCTGTCTGGTGGTTTTTTGTTTGTTTGTTTTTGTCTAGTGTTTTTAATAGGAATGGGTGCTGTATTTTTTCAAAAGGTTTTTCTGCAACTGTTGAGATAATCACATGATATCTGTTGGTTTTGTCATTGGTATGTTCAATTATGCTAATAGTTTTCCTAACATTGAACCAGCCCTGCAATCCTGGTATAAATCCCACCTGGTCATAGTGTATAATCCTTGTGACATATTGCTGTAATCTCTTTTCTAGTATTTTATTTAAAATATTTGCATTGATATTCATTAGGAAAATTGGTCTATACTTTCCTTTTTTTGTTTTGACTCTTCCTGGTTTAGGTATCAGCACCATATTTGTGTCATAAAAGGAATTTGGTAGGACTCCTTCTTTGCCTATTTTTCCAAATAGTTTATATAGTATTGGGATTAATTGTTCTTTAAGTGTTTGGTAGAATTTGCTTGTGAACCCATCTGGCCTAACAAAGTGTGTTATACAATTGTAATGGGCCATAAGAAAAAATAAAGGTGAAAAATTATGAAAACAACTTAGCAAGAATTAAAAGAATTGATACAGAATGAAGAAAGCTGAATCAGAGGAGGAAAAATATACAATAACTATAGCATTGTGTGGAGAAAGAACAGAAGAAAACAACTGGAAGCCATGTAATTGTTATGACCAAGCTTGTCTCTGGGAATGAAGTGAGAAAATATATTTTCTTTTCTTTTTGGTGGTATGGAACTTGGGCAATGGAACAGTTTATGTACTTTCAGACCGAAGTGGTATTCTGGTTATTTTTGCTGAATTGCTTTTCTTCTTCTATTTTAGTCTTTGTTATAAGGGTGTCTCACTGGGCTGGGGAAGGAGGAGGGATTTATTCAGATATAAACATGCAAAAGTTATCAGTGATTTTAAAAGCCTACTGCAATAGTGCATGTCAGAGGTGATTAATTCGCAATCTAGGGTGGTAGATGGATAGATGGATAGGTAGAAAGAAAGGGCCATGGGACTGAGTGAAGTTGTGGAAGTAGGAGAGAGGCTTGATAAAGTCTTGGCTGGGGATGGGGTGGGGTGGGGTGCAGGGATCAGGGGAAAAATTGAAAACTGCACCAAGGTTGCTATCCTGGGTAACTGGAAGGATGGTGGTGCCCTCAACAGGAATAGAGAAGTTAGGAGGATGTTAGATTTAGGGGGAAAGATGACAAATTGTGTTGAGTTTGAGATCCCTAAGGGACATTCCATTGAAAATGCCCAATAGGCAGTTGATGATGCAGGCCTCAAGCTTGAGAGAGAATGGGGGTAAACTGAGATCACAGCCTGTTCCAAACATCAACCTGTTCTGGGGAATAGTGGAACAGGAAAGCTAGACCTCCTACATAAGAGTATAGAGCCCCTAAGGCTAGAGGGATGCTCTCCAATAAGGACAGCATGGAGATACACTTTCCCAGTGGGACAGTGCCTACTGATTAAAAGTAGGCTTGTAAAGAAGCCACTGACCCCATCTATGAGAGAGACAGACAGACAGACAGACGGAGAGACAGAGACAGAGACAGACAGAGAGACAGAGACAGAGACAGAGAGAGAGAGACAGAGACAGAGAGAGAAATAATTTGGTTCTTTCTTCAAATCTTCAAGCAAAGGCTGGATGACCATATTTTTCCCCCCATGTGATATAAAGGGGATCTTTTTTTCTCAGGTTGGTCTAAACGGCTTCTGAGAGTCTTCTAATTCTGCAGACTGTCATTCTGTATCTCCATGGGATGTAGTTTCCTGACCTGAGTCTGAAAAAGGCCTTTGCTATTGTAGCACCTGTTGAAAGAGCACCCTATACCCATTCTCTCATCTTGCCTCCTTTGGAGAACATGCTGTGTCCCAAACCCCTCTGCTAAACTACTCTCTCCCAGAGCATCCCTACTTGAACCAACACCACTGATGTGTCTATTTCGACGAGTTTCAGATGTGAGGAGAAAGCTACAAGGAATTCTGTTCTTTTTGTGCAGATGTACAGAATCTGACCAAGGCTCAAGGCAGGGCAGCACAGGATTGTAGAAGAACCGGTAGAAGCCTTCTTGGGACAACGTCTGGCTTGTTGACCCAGGGACTTTGTCCTCAACTCCGCTTAACCCCTCCAAACTCTCTGCTCTAGTAGTCCATCTTCTAGGGTCTCTGCTTTCTCGTTTTCAGGGGAACAACTAGGTAACCTGATAAATAAGACCAATTGCCTTAATTTCTAAGTAGCATTTGTCTATGAGGCAATGATTCAGCTTCTGTTGTTAGACTATCAGGGGAGTGACTTCTTGGCAGTCAGACTCCAGTAGGAGACTATTATCTGTGTTAGGATGGAGGGGGTTGGGGGCTGATATCTCTTATGTGCTGGACCAGTTCTGCCTGAACTTCCCGGTTCCTCCCACCAGTGTGGAGATGGTGACCTTGGATTAAAGGTACCATGGGAGACTCCCAGGCAAAATTCTTTTGGTATCTTATCTCCAATTTAGAAAATTGCTTGTACCATTTTTTTTTTCAGATGGCTGCTGTTTGTTTTGAATAAAAATTTATATGAAACCTGGTACCAAAGCAACAACCTCAGAATGATGGGACTAGTGCCCCACTTTCCTGGGTACCTTTTATGCGGAGACAGAAAAAGGCCCGAATGAAAAGCACAAGCTACAGTAAAGGTGGTAAGGGAGGAAGTACGAATGTTGGCAAGACATGCTGACACACCAGATGAGAACAAAGTTCATGCTGGCACATTTCAGGTGGAACAGATTTGGTTTATACAATATTGAGATATGAATGACAGGTTTATCTGCATTTTGTAATTCCCAGTGGATTGAACCCCTAGTTCTACAAGGAAAAAACTCATAAAAAAAACTATCACCCATTCTCCTCAGCAGATGTCATGATATGACTTCCATAAAACAAATTGCTATCATCCCTTACTGCCATACCCCCAGTGGGTGATGGGAAGAGAAGCCTGAGTTTAACAGGGCTGCAGAGAGGTGTGGGTATGACGTAAGCCGGCCTGTGGCATTATCCACAGATTGCAAGTCTGCCAGTACTCTCTGCTAACTTTAATCATTGGATAACAGATGTAGAGCTTGCCAGACATCTTAGGTGCTATTGAGTTCGATTTTTTTTAATTTTACAATGGAGGAAACTGAGGTATGGAGTTGATATGCATTTTGCCCAGGATCACACAGCTAGTAGCTGGCCAAGGTGAGACTTGAACCTAGGTATGCCTGACTCCAGGCCCAATACCACATGGCTTCTTATTTTAAGTCGAATCACCCATCTGGATGTCAGGAGACCGGGCTTCAGATCTGGATTCTGTGACTCGGTCTCACCAGCTGTGTGTGACTCTTTGAGAATCATTGCTGCTCTCTGGGCCTCCTTTTCTTCATCTGGGCCCCAAGGCATAAACGCTACAGTCATTATTTGATTCTAAACAGTATCAGCTTTGAGCTGTGGAACAGGACAGGTGGATTCCAAATGACATGATGGATCAAATGACCACCGTTAGGCCTCCAAGTGTGACCTAAAGGTGTCCAATCATCCCTGGGCCGTTTTTGTTGCTTTTAAAGGTTTCGAATAATCCTTGAGCAACAAAGACTCAGTGTTCCAGTAAGCATATCACTGAGAGCCCCGGGTTCTGGTCTCCCATCTGTCCCTGAGGAGCTGTTCAGCTCTCTGGACTCCTGTTAAGAGGAGGAAATGATATTAACCACACAGCCAGCATCGATAGAGAGCTTTGAGCTTTGGAAAGTGCCTTAAGAATACTGTCTTACTGGATCATCACCACAACCCTGGGAGGTAGGTGCTATTATCATCCCCACTTGACAGATGAGGACCATTAAGTGACTTGACCAGGGTTCCACAGCTCGAAAGTGTCAGAGGACCGATTGCAGCTCAGATTTTCCTGACTTCAGGCCCAGCACTCTATCCGCTGTTCCACTTAGTTGCTTCTAGGAAGTGACCTGATCTACTTGTAAGGTCCCTCTTAGCCTCCACTACATTCCACGAAAACCATCGGCACCCCCCCAAAAGGTACCCCTTTCAAAAGCAGCAGGAGTCAGAATGGGAACCTGGCAGAAACGATGGGTTCCGGGCAGCCCCGGTATCTCTCCAGGGGTCCCCCTGCATTCATTTGATCGGGGCCAGGGCCGGGAATCCAGGCAAAGGGCAGGAGCTACAAGTCGGAGTCACAGGGCAGTGTGGAACTGGAGCCAGGGGGCGGGCTGCTGCTTTCCTCCCCCTTCAGTACGTCCTCGGGGTTCGCGTAGGCTGCCGGCCGAGGCATCCTGAAGCCTACTCGGGGCTTAGGACCACCCTGGGGCTGAAGCCGGCCCTGGCTGCGCTGGGACAGGATCGATGGCAGGCTGGGGGCTTCGGGCCAGCGGACCTGCACCGTGTTAAGACTGCTGCGGCGCGGGCCGGGGTACGCCTTCGAGCGACGGGCGCGCTCCTCGCAGACCTGGGCGAAGCTGAGGGCCAGGGAGAAGCCCCCCGCCAGCAGCAGGCAGCTGCCCAGGAAGCCGAGCACGACGCTGTAGCCAACGCGCAGCTGGACGGGGCTGGCCTCCGCGGGCAGCGCGGCGCGGTCCTGCACGACGTGGCTGTACCACGCCACCGGCACGAGGCCCAGGAGGCCGGCGGCGAAGAGCGCGAGGCCCGAGGCTCCCGCCAGCCGGGCGCGGGGCGTCCGGCGCCAGCAGCGCACCCCCAGCGAGGCCAGCAGCAGCCCCGCGGCCGACGCGGCCAGCGCCGTGACGGTCAGGGCGCGCGCCGCCCGCACCGGCGCCGACGTGTAGTAGCCCAGCTCGTCGGGGATCCCGCACTGGCCGTCTACACTGCTCTGCTGTCTACACGTGTCCCACAGGCCCTGGCTCACCAGCGCGTTCGCCGGCTCATCGAGGAAACCCGTCTTCTGGCGCCAGCCCGGCGTCAGGGTGCAGATCAGGTTCAGGAGCGAGCCGCAGGGGGCCAGCACCAAGCCCAGGGTCATGGCCACGGGCGTCCTCATGTCGGCTGCTGGGCGGCTGCAGGGAGGAAGTCTGGCCACGCCTGGGAAGTCCAGCGGACGACAAGGCAGAGCCCTAGGTGCCGGCGTCCCGTCTCGCTCCCCTCTCTCCCTGGCCCTCGTCCCCCTCGGGGGACGCTCGGTGCGCCCCTGGCACTGACGTGTGACTGGCGATCGGGCTCAGCCCTGGTCCGCTCCGGGTCTCCCACCTGCTTCTTCTCGTCCTCAGTCTCTCCCTTCTTCTGTTCAGCCTCTCGCCCATCCCTCTCCTCGACTTCCTCCACGACGAAGCTCCGCCCGTCGCTGAGCGAAACCAGAGCCCTGGCAGTCTCACCGAAACTGTGCGAGCTCCAGAGTCCGCCTGGCCCGGGAGGGGCTGACCCCGCAAGGGCCAAACAGGAAGCAACCACGGGGCCCTCACTTGGTCCAGCCCCGCCCTTGCTTGCCCCTCCCCCAGGCCTTGGACAGAGGTTGAGGCCAGAGCTGGTGGGAGGGAGAGCGCTGGGAGAGTCCGCCGCATCTGGCGGTGCACCTGTCCCTGCCTCCGATCCAGTCCGTGGGGCCCGGGCAGCCTCCTGGGATGCATCTTCCCACCCCACCGCTGCCCACTGCCCACTGCCCACTGCCCACTGCCCTGGGTGTAGCGCATGCAGGACCCCGCCTCTCCAGGCATCTGATTCACCCTCGAGGAATTGTCCGAAAATCTTTCAGCTTCAGAGGGTCAGTTACCTTTTCTCCCTCCCCGTGCTCTTCCTTACTGCTAAGCTGGGGGTGGAGAGGGCTGGAGGCGGGTGAAGAATTCCAAAAAATCTCCACGCGTTCAAATGTGTCTTTAAAAAAAAAATTGTCTCAGAATGTAGCTTTTGACCGATCTCTTTGGATATCTAAGTCTGGTTCAAGTGAAACGACTCCTAGAATGCCGTATTTAGAAATAATAATAGCCCACATTTCTATAGCACTTTAAAAAACTTCACTGTCTCCTTTGAACCTCAAAGCTACCCTGGGGAATCTAGGAGTTGATTGCTTCCAGAGGCCGAATGGATCCCCAATTCAAGTCTCTCTTTCCCCACATTGCTCTAAGTGAATCACAAATGTCCAGTACACATGGCACAGCCTTGTTCAGTATTCTAATCAGAGTTTTAGAGAGGAAGACCCAGATGTTGTGCTTGTAAAGCTTGGGAAGGATAGTTAACTTCTGATGACAGAATTGGTATCCAAAAATATCTTTCTGTGCTGGAATAATGGACCAAATATAATAAGATAAAATTTAAGAGGGATAAATATAAACTCATATCTTTTTTTTTTTTTAAGTTAAGATAAAGTCAGGGGGCAGCTAGGTGGTGAAGTGGATAGAAAGCTGGGCCTGGAGTCAGGAAGACTAGTTTCCCTGAGTTCAGATCTGTCCTCTAGACACTTACGAGCTGTGTGACTCTGGAAAAGTCACTTAACCCTGTTTGCCTCGGTTTCATCATCTGCAAAATGAGCTGGAGAAGGAAATGGCAAACCACTCCAGTGTCTTTGTCAGGAAACTCCCAAAAGGGGTCAGGAAGAGTCAGACTGGTCCGAACAACAACATGCAACAGTAATTAGAGTGCAGACCTTTAAGTGAGGAAGACATGAGTTCAAATCCTACCTCAAAGACTAAGTCACTTAAACCTCCTGCATCTCAATTTCCTCCTCTGTGAAAGGAGGATTTTAATGGCACCTATCCACTGGGGTTGTTGTGAGGATAAAATGAGTTCCCATAGCCATGGAAGTGCTTTGCAAACCTTGCTAAATAAATGTTAGCCGCAATAATCACCATTATCTTTTTATATCAAGATTTTTAAATATGATCTCTCTTGCCCTCCAAGGACAGCTATCTCTTAAACTGAGAAATCCTGTGCAAATTTTTTTTTTTTTTGGCAATTGGGGTTAAGTGACTTGCCCAGGGTCACCCAGCTAGTAAGTGTCAAGTGTTTGGTCTGAGGCTGGATTTGAACTCAGATCCTCCTGACTTCAGGGCTGGTGCTCTATCCACCGTGCCACCTAGCTGCCCTGCAAATTTTCTTTGGGTGTTTCCTAGATAGCTACCGAAAACAAATAAGCCAGCACAGGATACAGAAACAGGGAAACTGCAGTTTATTCACTCAAGACTCTGACACACCCATCAAAATAATATCTAACATTCATACAGCACTTACTATGGCCCTGAGATATCACATAAAAAGCCCAGCAAATACAGAACAAATGTGGTTATGTCCATTCTTAATAGATCACATTTAGCTCTTTAAAAAATTACACTATCAGGGAGTTCCATCAGTTGGGGAATGGCTGGACAAGTTAGGGTCTAGGAATGTGATAGAATATGGTAGGGCTATCAGCGACTATAAAAGGAATGGTGTCAGAAAACTGGAGAAGACCTGTATGAATTGATGCAAAATGAAGTGGGCAGGACCAGGAGAACAATTTCCACAGTAACAGTAATATTGAAAAGATGATCAGCCATGAAAGACTTAGTAACTCTGATCAATATAATGATCCACCACAGTTCCCAAGGATTCATAAGGAAAAATGCTATCCGTCTCCAGATGGAGAACTGGTAGACTCAAGAGTCCAGATCAAAGCATATTCTCTCTCTCTCTCTCTCTCTCTCTCTCTCTCTCTCTCTGTTTCTCTCTTTCTTTTGGATGAATGATATGAAAATGTGTTTTGTGTGACTTCATATGATAATGGTTATTATAATTCTTGCCTTTTCAATGGATCAGGGAAGGCTGGAAAAAACTGGAATTGAAAATAAAAATAAAATTGGATTTTAAAAATCCTATTTAAACAGAAAGAAAAATTAATTTAGTAAAATTTGTCAACAATGTGTGCAGAGTATACTATGACCCACACCCATCGTTCCCCACCTCTGCAAAGAAGGAAGATTCATTTTCTCCTCTCTTCCTTAAGAATGAGCTTCATCATTTAGTGGCACCCCACATGAACTACCTTCCTACCTCAGCACTCACAGATTTGCACCCTGGCCCCAGGAGGGTAACTCCTAAAGGTTCTAAGAGCTCCCTGTCTGCTCTCTAAAGCTATAAAGATCCTCCCCAGTGAGGTCACCTTTAAGAGTCACCCAGTAAATACAATTAGCTCAAACCAAAGGCATTTACTAAAATGGCATAGTAAGACCAGGAGCTCCAAATCTTTCCACCTTGTACTGTAAACCCGGGTGCATTCTGACAAATGCACAACACAGCAGAGAAAACAGTGGGTGTCAATGTAAGGTACACTCATGGTGGGGCATGTATAGGGAACATAGGGACAAGTGCCAAAGCGCTCTGGTTTCTGCAGGACCTCGGGGTCCTCTTCTTCTGGCCTCCCTAAGTTTGCTCCTCTCCACTTTCAGGCCTGGTTCTCCCTTGAATCTACAGTTTGCTAGCCCTCTTTCCTCCTCCTGGAGGAGGAGGCTTGCTCCCTCTCTACAGTGGGAGTTCCTTTTGCCTGGATGCAGTGCCACCTACCGAACTCTGCAAGCCTCGTAGCTGATGGATCGCTGTTTAGCCATTTTCAGTCCTGTCCGACTTTTCATGACCCCATTGGGGGTTTTCTTGGCAGAGACACTGGGATGGTTTGCCATTTCCTTCTCAAGTTCATTTGACAGATGAGGAAACTGAGGCAAACAGGGTTAAGGGACTTACCCAGGGTCACAAAGCTAGCAAGTATCTGAGGCTGGATTTGAACTCAGGAAGATGAGTCTTCCTGACTCCAAGCCCTGCCCTCTATCCATTGTGTCACGATGCCCTAGCTGATGGGCAGGGAATGGAGAAAACCCCTTGCCCCTTGTTGCCTTCTGAGGCAGGGGTCTCACTCTGCATAGCTGCTCTCTGAGCAGTTCAGCTCACAAAAATATTGATCAGTACTAACAGCTTGTCTTTTAAAGGCCATGCAGGGTAGGATGAGTAATTTTTCCCCCTACCCAAAGGTCAGGTTTCTTTTGTGATTCAAAGAACTTCACATTTTTAATAAACGGGTGAGGAGGTACAGGCATATCCTTGCATCATTCCATTCCTGGCTCTCCGTCCAGCTTTCTGGAATTCAGTAGCCTCGGCTACAATATCACCCTGCAGCCTGCCCAGGTTCTACTCACACTGGAACATCCACCTGCCCAGCTGGGCCTCTTCTCCAATCACTGGACTCCTCCCAGGGCTTCTGTCTTGGGGAAGGACCCAGGTGGGCCAAACTTCATTCTCCCACCCCCACCCCAGCTGTGCTTCTGGCTTTCTGGACCTCAGCAACATGGCCCCAGGCAAGTAACTTAACCTCTTACCATTTTCAGCCCCCTCTCCAAGGGGGTCTTCCTCCATTAGAATGTAAGCCCCTTGAAGGTAGAGACTGTCTTTCTCTTTGTTCCTATGTGTATGCCCAGTGCTTACCACAGTGCCTGGTGCTAGATAAATGTGCCTTGCCTAGCCCTTCATTAGCATATTCATACTTTATTGCTTTTAGTTATCAGCTGGACGAGGCAACATATAGAGAAATCGTCTTGGAGTCAGGGACACCTGGGGTTCAATAACATCTGTTTACATCTCCTGAATGTGTGATTCTGGGCAAGTCATTTAACCTCTCAGTGTGCCAGGCAAGTAGTAAGACAGTAAGTGCAAAGAAAATTATCTACTGTGCTATAAGAAATGATGAACTCCATTATCTTAGAAAAACATGGAAAGACTTGCACGAAATAATGAAGAGTGAAATGAGCAGAACCAAGAGAACATTGTATACAGTAACAGAATATTTTTTCAAGAATGACTTTGAGTGACTAAGTCATTTTGACTATTATAAATACACAAATTAAAGATAAAGGACATATGAAGAAAGATGCTATCTGTATCCAGAGAAAGAATTGATAAATAGAAGTATGTGTAGAATAATTTTACATCAGATGAGGATCTGTTTGTGTCTAATGGTAGCCATCTCTAGGGTAGGAGGGGGAAGAAAAAATAAATTTACATGCTAACTTTATTAGATATTTAAAAGCAATAGCAAGTTGTACATAATAGATATGCAGTTTCATGTGCAATTATCTTTTTTATTACACTATGTCACATAAAAAAAGGAAACGCTCAACTAGAAAGGAGATTTCCCAATGAAATCGTACATCTCGGGCTAAAAAGAGTTACCGGGTATATTGTTTTTCCTGCTTTTGCTTACTTTGTACTAGTTCATATACATCTTCCCATGTTTCTATGTCTTCTTCATGTTCATCATTTTATGGTTCAGTAACATCAGTAACATCAGTTTTCAGAACTTGTTTAGCCACTTCCAAGTTGATGGTCATCCACTATGCTTCCAGTTCCTTGCACCAACAAAAAGTGCTGCTATGAATATT